AGGCTAGAACAGAAATGGTAGAATGGAAAAATATTGACCGCAGACAGCCGTCAACTACGTATACAATGTATCGAAGATATGTAACAATCATTTTTGATGCATATTCGAAATCTATTTTTACTTATCGCCTATATTTTTTTACACATTACAGAGCAATAAAACGTAAAATTACATTTAAAAAGTTCTTTACTACATGTTAATCATTATGCAAATTATACAATTTCTATATATTACGATTGTGCATTCATATTTTGGAAATCTTATTTCCAGCTCAAATATATCCAAAACTGAAAAATTACCATGAATAGAGAGTATTACGAAAGAAAGGATAAACTGAGAAAACCACAATTATATGATGAATGTTGGTAAAATGAGAAGCACAAAAGGCTGATTTTTGATCTCCCAACAAAAAATTCATCTGCAACGAAAAATATCTAGTAAGACACAGATAGATGATAAGCAGTAATATTGCTGAAATACACAAAATTTTGAGCGTTAATGACGACAAAAATGGTGGTCACTGATGTTGGAAAATATAAATATTTTCTAATACAATGAACTTAAGCTACATCTGAACTCATGCTACCTACATTCTTGAAATTTTGGCACGATTACTCTAAGAAATAATAATAATGCCTCTATTTTCCTCAGATGTTATCTACACTAAATTTATTATTTCGGGTCCGTGAAAGTCTTCGACAATCCTTGTTTTAATTAAAATGTGCGTCAAATATGAAGTAAATTATATTCAAAATTCATTCTTACCATTTGCGCTTTCTTTTTTTATGATAGATCAGAATTTTATGGTAAATTGAAATGAAGTAAAAGAATGCTTGTGTGTGTGTACGTATCTACAAGAATGTATATCGGTCAATTTACTCAGAACTTTTTGACCGACATACACACCCTATTTACCCGCTTCATCTGCAATCTATTTCATCTAGTGCATTGCTGGGTTATTGTTGAAACGGATTATATTCCCTAGTTACAAATAAAGTGCAGAATAAACAGCATTTACCTGTCTGTTCACGATAATGACTGAAATTATGATTCAGAATGCACTTACGAAAACTTTTTACACATTAATTTTCCTCAAAATGTAGTCATTCTCATCAGTTTCACTGAGAATGAAGAAATTTCACCTTTGTAGACATGACATGAAAAAGCAGCATGAATAGATCTTCAAAGCCTGTCATTTATTCATACCGCTGGCAAATGCTTCTTTTTTTACGGTTGCTACTTAGGTGGTACGCTTAGGTTACTACACTGAGACGGATGTAACGTGATCTCATGGAATTCAATATGTTACGACATGATTTCACGTACATCCGTCTCAAGGTTAACCACTGCTGCAGCTTCTGGAGGAAAAAAAAAGAAAAAAAAATGAATACTCGAAAGTGGTGACAATTGACATATAGAAGAAACTGTCACAAAAATCGCCAGTAGTAAAGATGAGTAGGAGAAAATGTGAAAAAAATGCGACTGCAATAACAAAAAAAATGATAGATTCTTTTCATGATTCAAATCACAGAAGAAAAAAGGTAGTATAACGGTACGTTCAGCTCCTTAATAATTGAAATTAAACGATACAAATGGTTTCAATGAAGTCCGTATTTTCATTAGAAGCACAAATTCACTAAATTTTATAAAACAATTATTACAACCAAATAAGTTGAAAACTTCATAAAGCAGAATTATATGAATACATACAATACAGTCAAACGAATACAAAACAGGATATAAAACTGCAAAAGTATACAGCGATCTCACAAAAAAAATTAAGTACTGCTAATCCACAAAATAAACTAACTTAAAAAAAAACTTACTGTCAGCAAATTATACACGAGGTTGTCTGGTAAATGATATATTTTAAAAAATGACAGAACGAAGAGGCATTGATCAAAAATTTAATGTCGCTTTTTAACTACCATTTATCATAAAAATATTAAATTGGGAATTACAGCAATATAAAAAGCAAATTAACGCTTTCCAAATAAATTGGACATTCTAATCTTGCAAATGATATGTTAATCTCATGAATGAAAATTCCAACACTAATGAAAGCAGCTAAATATGTTACTACTTACTTTACTTCTCCATATGTTAACATACTGCCAACAAACCAATATTGGTATAGATTACAAGCATTCTTGCTGAGTGGACTAAATTATTTGTACCCATTATTTTGATTAAAATAATTCAAAGATAACTTGCAAAACTTAACTTAGCAATCCGAAAAACGTTAAGAAAATTATTTCTGTGCAGCTGTTAGGTTTGCCATTCAGAATTTCTGTTTTTCTGGTACTAAATTTCTTGATAAACATCTAAAATTTCCATTATGATGATAAATTACAGGAAAATGAGTGAACATAATATTCAACGAAGCTCACATTATTCAAAAAAGCACGCTGCTCACAGTGATCCCAAGAAACAGAAATAATTCTATTTTTTAACATAGAACGATGATGTATGTACGTAATTTAGTTAATTTAGTTGCATATATGAGCAGACCAGTGAAATAGTACAATTTTTATGGTTTCTTATATTGATGAATTACAAATAAATTTTACAAGAGTAATAAATATTATCGTATATCCCAATAAAGAATTTGCTAATAAAAACACAAAATAGGGCAATTTTTGGAACCAAATATGGAACTGCAATAATTTTACAGTTTCATCAATGTAAAAATGTTCTTAAAAAGTAAATAAAAGTAGTAGCAGCTGTCGTTTACGGGAATTTCGCGATCAAAAAAGATAATACTCAGATTAATGATTTAAGAAAAGTCACGTGAAAAATGTCCATAATATTTCTTCTAGAAACATTAAATACTTTGGAATTGATCAAAATATTTGGGTATAATCAAAGAATAGTTTAGTTACGTTTAATTAAAAAAACACTTTTTACGCACTTTACACATGACACTACACTCCACTACACCAAAGTGGTTCTCGACATGACTGAAATTGATTAATTTGATAAGAAAACTCTACCGAAAGAAATAGATAATTGGATAGATAGATGATCAAAAGCAATAGATGAGTGTAAGAAAAAGTTTTCTTGGTGCAAGAAAGAATAGTACGTAAGGTTGTTTAAAATATTTGAAATACTACCTACTTCCTGATGCCAATGAATGAATTTAATTGCAGAGGAAAAAATTACACCGGAAAATTCAGCATATCACTGATCAAAATTAGAATGCTTAACAATACTTGCGAATGCAATACCTTACTAAAAATACCATAAGAAACTGCGAAATAAAGAAATGCAATCCATACTAATATCATTGTTGTGCTACTTTCATTATGCTACTATTATCATCATCATCCTGCCAAATATTTCACAACAACAACAAATATGACACTTACTGGAAGAGAATCAAGTTGAGACAAAACCAACATGCTTGATAGAAAAATCTTCTGGATGTTCCTCACCACCCTATTCCGTGCACAAATTTTTTCTCACAACCAATATGCAAGTTGTAGTGAGATTTGAGATGTGAATGCGAATATTTTCGTAACTGCTCAAACTTTCCAGCTTTTGGGACTTTACCTTCGCAATATCTTACTCAAAAATCCTAGACACCTTCAAAAAAAAATAGCTGAGAATTTAATTCAAACTATCATAAAATATTGGATCATTTTATGTTACAACATGGAAATAAGCGTCGGTTGGAATGCAGAGAATATTTTACTGATATAGCAGAATGACGAGAAGAAATCCTAGCGCATATCCACTTCACTGGACTTGAAGGATTCAAAAAATAGCTAAAATGCTAAAAAGATAGAGATCAGAGATAAATTACAACTTTCCAGATTTGTATCGTTAGTTGTTTTCAGGTTTTCACCGATTCAAAGCTTTATTTTCATCCCTTAATAAATACATAACAATTCTGAAATAAAACACCACTACAAATCAAATCTAAATATACATTTATATCTCAGGAAATCTGGTTTCGCTATGTACAGAAACCACTTTCTAGTCCCATTCTTTATCATGAACAACTCGTATCTTAAATACTTATCACTTGCTCAAATTCAGTACATAAATGACTAGATATCTTTGTTTAAATACAGAAGCGATTAATGCAAACCTGGCACCGCAAAATCTGCACTGAAATATACAATGTCCATAAATTCCAACCATTCTGAATTTTGCAACTTCTGTGCAGCGGGACCTACTCCCCCCCTACCTTTCAACCCCTCCGAAAATTGCATCGTCCACAACTAGAAATATTTTCGTTTTATAAACGATTCCGCAACCATGTAGACCATCCCTTAAAGACGCACACACATGTTTCTATACACATGCGTGTATGTATGTGTGTGCACAAGAGTGCATGTGTAATGGGCTTGAGCTACTCGTCTGGGTCTGTCTGGTAACAAATGTATGGGTGTGCACGTCTGCGTATATGTGTACACATCTGCTGTTCGTGTGTGTGTATGTGTGTGAGTATGCGTACATATTGGTGTGCTGGTGTGGAATTTGCTGCTCTCGCCTACCACCACCATCCATCTATAACTCGCAAGTTTTCTATCGGTGGGTGGGTGGGTGTGTATACACAGACGGGTAAGGTAAATAGGCAATAAGTGTAATGATTTGTTACTCAGCACAACCTTTTCTCGAATCAATCAATAACCCAATTTCATCAAAAAAAGTTTTGGGCTAATTCAACGAGAAGTTTACTTTCGCTTTTTGTTACAATCAATTTCACTTTCCTTACCTGGGAAGCGAGTGGCACGAAAGTTGTAAAAAAGGTATGCAAATAAGCAACAAATTTGTAGTAGACCTCGTCAGCTAATTAAGAACTAGCACTACTGCAGCTAGCTACACACTACATTCTTTGGTACTTGTACGTCGCATTCCGCACTTCCTCATATTGTCATTTGTCTCATCTGTAAGTGTGTACGCCTTACTCTGCTCCTCATAAAACGCGTACAGCATCACCTCCAATAAGAGATACGATAAATGATTGACGCCATGCAATAAGCGATCACAATTTACTCCCTTTCACGTTTCTCTACCCCTCTCTTCTTTCCTTCATTATTTCTGTAACATCTTGCATTTCGCATTGTGACACGACATGACACGATGCGACGTGACGACCCAATAGCACCAGCATTCCGCATCATTTCAGGCAAGATTTCAAACGCGTTCTGTACAAAAGATGACAAAAATTTGTGGTCGGTACAACGCAGCACCCGACTGAGTCAATCTCATTTCTTCTCCTCTCTCCAGTTGCCGAACAAATATGCAATTGATCATTTCCATATCAACACTTCTTTGCTCGCTACTATACGAATAACTTAGCGTGCTTCGTTCAGGCATCATACATTTGCTTCTCTTACGACATAATTTTGGGTTGCGGAAAGCAAGAATCGCGGTGTAACGCAATTTGAATACTGATCATAATTTATAGCTTTCCATATTTCAATCCATTTTCTCAATTCCTTTGCTGGAAAAATAAAGACTGGATGAATTGCATGAAATCAGTTAACAATAAATATTAGGTTGTAATATTTGCACAAGTCATCACTAATACTTGAGTTCAAGTGACGTGTACAGACTGCCTTCTTAAACTTACAATGATAGTATTTACAAACACCTCAATTGCGTGCAGCAATCCAATCCATCTTGATCCACTCAAGTCCTACTCTTGTGTTGTCTATGCTACCCTGATTTACTTCCCTCTTCCTGCTCCCTCTATTTCACTTTCATTTATACTATTCCAGTTGCAGATCACAGTACCACCATCTTACTGTACAGAACCGTTTCTCTCCTCATTCACCTACTATTTTTTCATTAGTGGGCTTGCATAATCATAAGTTTAAATGACGCATGAAACTTCGTCTTCCATCGCTGCGGGATTCTTTCAATTTTTTTAATATGACAAATTATTCAAAATTAACTATGAATTGCTGCATTTGCAAGAATTTTTCGGTGATTACACATTTTGAGAGAATATAATAACAAACGAATACAGTCAGTAAGGAGAAGTCTGTTAAAGCGAGGTGTAATACTTTGAAGTAAATGAATGTAGTTTTAAAAAATTTGAGATTAATACCAAGTACTTTCAAAAAATGCCTAATTCTTATTTCATTATTGCAAACACTGCCAACTAATTGCATCTTTCTTTCGCCATAAATTTTGCGTCCTTTTTCTCTCAGGAAACAATAATTCGAGATTATTCTTATATATCTTGACCTGTTTCGATTTAATCGAATTTCCATTTATTTATTGTTATTTCAGAAGTGGTAAAAATTAAGTGTTTACAGTGCTCAGACGCAAATCGAAATCCTGCATAGTTTTCTTATGAAAATTAAATTTTTTAACCACTAAAAAGGATTTGTAATAACAGATTTGGAGAAATTCATTGAACTTATCCAAGTGCTACCGCTGTTGGCATTTAATTTTCTAAAGTGAAAATTAATAGACGAAAATCGAAGGAGAAAATTATGGTATTACACTTAAAGCTAAAGAAGAGTGATTTTTTTTAAGGTAAAAGAAGAAGACATTTGAAAAAATGTAGAAATTGAAAAAGTTAGTTTGAAGGAAAAATATATAAGAGTGATATCTATAACAACTGACGCACTACTTAATATAATTATCTATTTGCTTAGAAATTTTACACAAAAACTTGTGTTTAAATACATGCTATGTATTATTTTCTCCTCCTAGTTTCTTAGTAGTGGATTTCAAAAACTGAATTTTAACTCAAATCGAGCAAAGATTTGGCATCAACTTTTCGATTTTGATTATATTACTTAGAATTAATACATTTAATTTGCGACGGAAAATATCTGAATATTGAGAGAATAGTATTAAGAGTGAGCGAAGATTAGTGAGAAGTGAAAATATTATCTAAACTGCACTTTTATTCACTTTCAAATCAAGAAAAATTGGTTATTTCAAATTCAAATACTTCCAAGTCAGCTTCACTAATTTTCTCCATTAAAATTTCTGAGTGATGGAAAATGAAATCGGCTGAATTCGAAGTATTACTTATATAGTGTAAAACAAGCTAGTTAAAGAGTAATTTTCTCTGGATCGCTTCCTTCGTTATGATTTCAAGTTATTGATGTATTGGGTTGACTCGCTTGATCTCCAAATAGTGTAAATTAATTTTTGTAACCAATATGATTAGTTTCTGATTAATTGAAAGAAATGAACAAATAGGTCATTACAGTATGCATACTACTTGCACAAATCATTGACATTCGTGAATTATTCATTAATTTAAATTTAACGAAAAGTGTAATTCCGATTTCTGTATGTAGATAATAGCCGAAGCAAATTCTTCAGCCCCTGTAGTAATAAGCAAAAGGAGGATAATTTTTTCAGAAGTGTCGAAGTAATTAACCGCTTTATGTTTTCTCATAATTGGTTATAACGATGACACTTACTTCATAATTTATTTTCTCTTGACACAACTATCAGCTCTGTACGATATATAGATTGGTATTTAATAGCTTGGACAGCTGGAAAATGATCATTTCTGACTATTTCAAGGAATTAACTAAAAATCAAATATTTAGCTCATAAAAACCAAAATGTCAATTAAAAGCAACTTTATTAGCAAGCAGAATGGGATCCATTTTTCTGAATAACTTTTCAGAGAATGTCAGCGAGTACTTTTGCTTTACATTTGTGAAAATGAGAATAGCTATGAAATAATAATCTAAAACTAACTGATGAGATCAGTCGCCTTAGATGGAAGCGCGAATGTGCTAGACCCAAAAGGATAATGAGTACAACTGGGATATTTATGAGGAGACCAATAGAAGCTTAACCAATAAGATGGGGAAGTTTGGGAAAAGTCAAGTTAATTTAAATATGATTAACATGCAGGAAAAAGTGATCACAGCGAGTACGACCATATTAATATTAATGTATACTTCAGTGATAAAGTTTACATCAATTGCTGGAAATACCCAAGAAAGCAAAAATTTTCATTCTCATTACTTTTCAAGATAGCCTTCCTTGTCTATGAAAATCAAGCAGTTAATTAATTAGTTAATTGATTGAGTTGTACGAATTTGAAGTTATATTTTAACTTCGGAATCAATTTCACTGTTTATATTTCTAAATTTTAGACGATTTATTATGCTTGCGTCCATATTTACGTATCTATTGATTTAGTTGTCGGTAAAATTAATTAAATAACGAAATATTTATCAATTTTTGCATATATATACAACTCTTACGAAGGAAAGTTTTGTAGGGGTAAGAGCAAATGTAGAGGAAAATGGAAAAAGTTTGAATGATTTGTCAAACCCTATTATTCTGTTCATCAATCTTAATTAAATTTTTCGACATTTCACCTGTTTGTTGACCTCACATCCTGACCATGTCATTTCTTATTTGAAAATCGTTTTCAAATATTAAAAAGCAGTAGTCTCGATTGGATTGAAACTTCACAGTTAACATTATTACATGCGTATAAAAAGTGATGCAATTGCAACTAACAGATAGATGCTTGATAAAGCTAGTACACTAATGGACAACAATCCTGATAAATCATTCTAAATGATCTACATAATCTCTTCCCTTTAAGAGCAGAAAATGCAAAATTTGAAGCTGCTGCTATTCTGTTATGCCAGTTGAAAAAAATGCCGATTTCGCATGAATGAATTTTCACTTTAAGCAAAAATCCGTGAAATGAATAAAAAATCATGACGTTAAAAAGGTCATAAAATTATAAAATTAGCGCAGGAGAATTATTCAATAAACAGTTTCTTACTTCGAATTGAAAGTAAAATTCCATGCACTGGAGTAAAAGTTGATTTTTTTCGAAGCAAGAGATCAATATTTTTCATGATTACAAGAAAGCTCATCAGATTTTTGATCTTTAATAATCAATCAGTCCAACCAATCATTCATAATATCAATATTAATGATCAAATAAAAATTAGGATAGACGGCATGGAAAAGTTAGATAAATGAAAGATAACGAAGATTTTTGGTATTTCTACTTATTTTTCAGTATTACCTGCAGGGAATATATATATACAGGTAAGATTAGATGAAAGATTGCAATGGACGGGTAAAAACAATTAGATGATTTGTCCATCTGATTTATGTGCTGCGTCTGTTAAACCTGTCATAAGTAGAGATCTTGATAAAAATACCCTCCACACGCACTTCTGACCTTTCACTGATGACCTTATATTTTTTCCAAAAAATACTAGTTTCTCTTTGAATCATGAAATCAAGTATGCGAAAGTATTTTTAAATAACAAATAAATGTGATCAAAATACGATCAATTTGAACCATACTTTACCACTTGCAATTTTATCATTTCATTTGAATTCATATTATAACTGTTTTCTATGCACTAAAATTCATTAATATTACTAGAAAAATTTTTTTTTGATAATTTATCTAGTAGAGAGAAGGTTGAAAAATGCAAGCAGAAATTAAAAACCCATAACATTTAGATCAGGAGTATCTGATTAGTCCCTAAATTTCTATAAATGTCATGCATAAAACCATGCGGTAGAAAGAAAAATCCCCACCAATAATAACTTATCTGTTATACTTGAAGAAACCATCGCTAACATATCTATACTGCGTAAAATCTGCTAATAAATTATGCATTATTCGTCGCACATAGAGCAATTATTAATATGTGAGAAACTTTTCGCTATCTTTTACAGCTTTGGGAGAAAATTCGTAGATACAATGCAAAAATAATATTTAAGAATCAAAAAAGAACAAATTATCATTCCTTTCTTTCTCTCTCTTGTGACACAAAAAATTCACAAAAAACAGCGAAGAACTCAAAACTATTTCTTTATCCTATGCTACCAATCCTTCAACTACCTACTTACATATTATAAAAGTTTTCACTCACCTTTTGTTGAACCAATGAAATGCAAAAACTGACCGAATGAATTCCCAACATCATACTGACAAAGATGACCAACAATGATGACAGTAATTAGAACAACATTCTGATCATAAAACTTTTCAACGAACCATTGCGATCAATCTTTATGCAATAATATTATTTAATAAATATAGTAATGTATTAAACATTGAAACATATTATATACCACAATTCATTTGATCTTTTTTTTTTTTGATTTTTGATCCTTTTTCAAACAACCACAATTTTTATCAATTATTTTTAACAAAATCACAATTAAATCCTTCTGCAAAAATGAAGAAATATGGCCCAAACTGTGCAAAGAAAAAGAAAAAGCTGTGATGAAGCTAATAATATCCCTCATTACGAGAATCATAATTTTCGATTTTCTAAATTTCATATTACATCAGCATACTTTAAAGGAATAATTTCAATGCAGTAGTATAATTTTCTTTATCATCTAATTCCCAATAACATCGGAAATTCCAGACTTTTCGAAATTAAAATGAAACAAATGGATTGGATTATTGCCGACCCTTTAACCTGTAATTACATTTATATCATTCACAACGCGATTTAAGAATCTTTTCGAGGAGGTTTAATCTGTAATCACAGATGTAATTGCCATTTTTTTTTTCATGCATATGCATTTTCTAGAAAGGATTTGACGTTTCTTGGAAATATAGGTAACCCATCGCCTTTGCTCTCAACTTCATTAATTCTTGTAATAACTTATTTTTGATCACATGATATAAGACTTTTCTTCTGCTAGAAGCAATGGATACATTTATTTATGTCTACATTTTGCTTTTCCATTCTTTTTCACATAGTAAATACACAATTCATGTATTTCTCAACACTACTTTTTGCACCATCTCCCATTAAAGCTGGAATAAACTGAGAAGAGTCTTGAAATTTATAACTTTTACCCTATTTCGACCTTTATCAGTAATTCAGTTATTCTATGTGTCCATCTTATTTTGGAGAAATAATCTTCATTTCAGATTTGTATTATCTTTCAAAAAATTAATCGTACGCTGTTTTTTTAACGCAGATCTCATTATTTTGTTTCAATGGCAAAGCTCTTTGCCTGGTTTATTTTGTGGTGTATTTTGTTTGTTACAACAAATGCCATCGATTTTCCCACTTCATTTTTATTAAGTAGAAAGGTATGAAAAATGAATATTCTTCGAGAACGAATCCGACGTTTGTAATATACCCATCTTGGCAAGTATTAAAATCTAATAATATTGTACCTTATTTCAAAAGAGAGAAGAAATGTAATAAAAAACAAGCATAATTTGACTACTAATAAATATCATACTCATTGTGCAAAATTTTAAGGAAATTTTTAGGCATTTGGAACAAATAAATTGGTTACCCGAGGAGATGGCAGTACGATATCAAATACACCCTATTCTGTACGGTTAGTTTCCTTTCCTTTCCGCAATCACATAGACCAAAAATTTTCACAAAAGTATGTATTACGATAAAACGTGTAACACTATCTAAATAGAGCAGATTTCTCAAACGATGTATTTTAAACATGCTAATTCTTGTGCAAACCTATAACGTTTATGGTATGTTTGGCTAAAAAATTTTGCACAAAATCAACAAAAAACCGAATGAAAAAGGATTGTGAACTTCAATAGTTTTCCACACAACTTTTAAACCTTGCTCACAATACAACTGGAATCAAATAAAAGCTATAGTCATCACATCAAACATGAAAAATTCTTCAAACTAAGAAAGCATTTTAAAAACCCTAACAGATATTATTATTTGTGAGTTATTTATAACAACAAAATACATCGTATAGATCATCCTATAAAAAAGTTTTCGAAGTTATCATTTGACTAACTGATAACAAATAGGCTGGCTCATCAAACGGTCTATTTTTGGCCAACTTTCACTAGTTTGGAACAGCAAGTTCTTCGTAATGCATTCCAACAAATCGCACGTTGGACATGCGTTAATTTTGAGGAAAAAGTATATGTTCCATGGTATCATGGTGATCGGTGGATAGAAGGAAAATCATATGTGATAATACGAAAAAGTAACAATTATATGGGTCAGTAAAGTGATAAAAATATCATTTCTTTTTAGATCAATTCTTAACATTACTATAAAATAATGCAAACATTTCATCAGTATATTCTCATATACTTCAGTTCAAGGAAATCTACCTTTTATGCAAAACAGGTCTAATTTTGCAAAGTGAATTCAAGTTAAAAATCATTCAGTGAGAAACATAACTACTTGGTGTTCGTTCAAATTAATTCCAGGAAATAAACTGTCAATATTTTTTAGCTTACACAGATAATAAAATTGAAAATGTAGCAATCCGAAGCATATTGTACATCACAGATAGAGCTCTAAATTATCCAGTTTTCAACCAGTCTCGTGGTATGATCATTGATCAACTTCTGCGATTTCTTGGCTTTCGTCCTGAGCACTTACGTCCAGATGCATCTTCTTACATACAGCCTGTTGGGTACTAATAGCGAAATTTCTGCATTCTTACTTTGATTGGGAAAGTTTTCAGTAATAAAATTCGATAAAGATAGATGATGGTGTAAAACGATATAAATGCAGAAGTAACAAAAGATCTAAATCTTTAGTAGTAAGGTCAACAATTCTCAATAAAAAACCGTATGTAAAAGATTACACCATCATCTATCTTTTTACCAAGGAAACTGCTAACCAACAATAAGATTATTGCAGGAAGCTAACAGATTCGCCAAGGCCAGACTTCCTCCAAGCTCAGTTACAATGGCCATTTGATCCAGAAAGTGTATCAATTCCAACCGATGCTGTGAAATGGTACGAACTAAGTATTTACTGTCCTGCTCGAAGTAACAATAATATTGGAGCTGGACAACGAGCCGGTTTACTCACGAAGTACAATACACTTTTGAAAAATTAAAGCATAACAGTTCTGACCGACTACTTTATTAATAAATTATACAACAAATTTAACTGATAGTGTCAGAATAAAAAGATCACTTTTATGTTGAAAGCCATTTTATAATCTTTCTTTGAAGAACTGCACCAACTTCTTATTTGATATGTAGAAAACATAATTGGTCCACTGATCTTGAAGAATCTTTAGTATATTTGATAAATTTTGCCGACTGCGCATCACCAAATCCAATTTTCAGATGGGATGCCATTAAGCTGAACAGTATGTTTTGTCCACATATGGTGAAACATGTTGATCCAAGATATGGCCCTTGTGTCGTTCCAAGACTTTAAATCTTTGTTAGCATTACTTTTAATTGTGAGTACGATTTTTTTTCCAAACGAGAACAAACAACTACTGAAATATTTGTATGTTAAGCGTTGGAACAATATATGGAAAATTATTGTAAATTATTTGAGTTTTATCAGTCAAATCTTAAGATAAATAAATTAGTCAGAGTATAATACTGAGAGAGAAGTAATTCTTGTACAAAAACCCAAACTATAGCAAAATTTTACCGCTGAAATGATAGAAAACATATTTATGGCGAATTGTCGATCTGAATAGTACAAATATAACAGAGTGAAACCATCAAAGAGTACTTTACTTTACACGTTCACATTTGGATGCAAATACAATCACAGTATTTTTAGCAAACTAAGTTAAAAACTACATATCTGAATCAAAAAAGAAGGAACGAATAAGCAAGACCGGTCAAAAATGAGACCAGTTCTGTTTGGACTACGAACTTGTAAGGAATGAAAGCTGAAGAGCAGGTCTGGATGATGCAATAGCACCTTTAAGCGATTGTCACTCTATATCTGCAACTTTTCATCAAAATCTAATTTAGTTCAGTTATCAGAACGACAAAACCATATCAGACAATGAGTGCTGATAAATATTGACGCTTACTTACATTTCAAAAATTTTCATGTGATTTAATTTTATTAAATAGGGTTTAAGTTAAAAAAACAAGCTAAAAGGCTAAAATTTCTCTTTTTTTTAACTTTCACTAGTTGATAATGTTTGCTAATTTTCACAAATTTTCGTGAAATATAATTTGACAAATCTAATTTCATTTGCATTAATAAGAATTCAATTGCAATAGCTGAGAATATGATGAAAGTAGATTAAGTCGATGCAGACACCATTTAAAAAATTTAGCCAACAAAACATGCTATGTGTACCTTAACAGAACGAACAGTTCGCTGGGCAACAAGTGCCGAAGCATCCCAACACTTAGTACCGAAGCATTCCAACACTTAGTACCGAAGCATTCCAACACTTGTTCTGCTAAGGTACACATAGCATGTTTTGTTGGCTTATTGCCCACGAATTTATTTGAATCGAAATGAAGTGGATCGAATGAAGCAGGAATTCTCTGTGAAAATTAACAGGACAATAGATGTACAGGATGGTTCTTGGACTGCTAGTTTCTAATTCCATAGCTGTTGTATCTAAGCAATTATACGCAAGTAAGACACGCACTGTCGATATGTTTCTGAATAATTACAGTTTGAAACTATGACTACCGTATGGTAACATCATATCTAAAAGATGAATATCTTATTTTCTGCTTTTTGTAAATAGAAAATACACAATACTAAGAATATATAAGTGCCACAGATGTTCTGCTTGAGTGCATCCAAGTTTCAAAAACAACAGACCGAACAAAAGATTACTAAGGGTCACGAGAACTTTTAATTCCTTTTTATGATTTGAAATTTCAAAGAAGCAACATCTGTTTGTCTAAAAGTTGTCAGCTCTATGCTGTGTTTCAATTCTGGCAATTATATTAATGTACAAAAATATGAATGTGCTATTAAATACGAATGATAAAAGTGGACTGTAAAAGAAAAGACCAGTGAGCGATGTAATTCGAGAAATAGTAGAGTAAAAGACTGGTTGAACAGTGATTGTTAACACTGAAAGAACATCTCAAGATAGAGGGCACGTATTCAAGACTTCACTTCAAAGCTGTTTGTAGAATATTAAGCACAAAGCCTTATTTCATACTAAGAATGAGGAGCAAAAAAAATAGGGAAAGAAGAACGTGCAGTGGGATCAAAGCAAATCTTAAATTCTTCTGAATCATATTACTGCATCAGTTAATAATGTGGATTATAGTGAAATTAAAAACCTTTCTTTCATGGATGAATTACATGTTGAATCAAATAATTAAGTAGAATGCATTATTTACACTGTGTATGCTGCTTGGAACTTTGTTGCGACTTATGGGTTCGGATTTAACTTGCAATAATTGCATTTATTTCTGTAATCTTGGAGATTGTGATGAATTTGAAGTAGGGCCTCATAAGTTATCTCTTTTTATTGTGCTAGTTTGGAAAGATTAGTGTTACTATGCACCGTATCAATGATTTATGTTTTGTTCTGAAATTTTCAACTCTGCAGTAAATTGAACCACTTATTAGTAGATTGAACCACTGTAAAAGTTTAAGAACTTCTGTTTTCAGAATGAATCGAGAGTGCCCTCACTGTGGTAGCACAGAAATTGACGAAGATTCGTCTAGAGGAGATACTACATGTATGAGTTGTGGTACAGTACTAGAAGAGTCAGCTATTGTTTCGGACGTAACATTTCAGGAAAATTCCAATGGTGGTCATTCTTTAGTGGGTATGCCTTTGTAATGTTGGTAATGTTCAGTCCTCATGTTAGCGATGTTTGTTCTCAAGTTCCTTAATCATATGGCAATTCCAAACTTTGGGAATATGTGAGAGGCAAAAAATCTAATTTCCTTCTGGGAAGGGTTTCATTCATTATTCGCATACAATTAAGGAGTTATATACATGTAGGTCAGTTTATTTCAAAAGAGCGCGGTCGATCGTTTCGTGGTGTTCCCGGCTTAGGACTGCAGGATTCTCGTGATATCACACATTACAGAGGAAGAAAATTGATCGAACAGGTAGGAATATCGGATTGATCGGGTTATATTTCGACGTTAAGATGCATGTGCTGTATACTTAGTATGCAACTCTGGTTATTATTCATTCTTACTTGATTAATTACTGTGATAAATACAAATTTAGTATTCGTACTTATAGATAGCGAGCCAGCTTCGAATCAATCAGCACTGTATCAACACAGCTTTTAATTTTTTCAAAATGTGTGTTTCACGCAATTTCACACGTGGGCGTGTCCGGTCACACGTTGTAGCTGCATGTTTATACATGACTTGCCGATTAGAAAATACACCCCATCTATTACTTGATTTCAGTGATGTCACTCAGGTTACATATTTCTCTTATTTTTACAGGAAATTTGAAGTTTTTACCACAATTTTATTGCACCTGCACTAATTTTTGTGCAGAACTTTCATTTGTGTACAAATAGTTCTCATAGTTCCTATTGATGACTATCAAGTCACTTTGCGCGTTTATTTTAGGTTAATGTGTTCGATTTGGGACGAACGCTTAATTTTTTGACTCGATCTCTACGAATTAACCTTCCCACTACTGATCCTTGTATGTACATCCTACGTTTTGCCGTTTTGCTCGATTTTGGTAACAAACAACGAGAGGTAAGCAGTCCTTTTCTAAATTTAAGAACTTTCTAATATATTCAGGAAAATTTTCGGTCGGATCTTTACATTCTTTAGATCATTTATCGTAGACATATGCTACTACATTTTGTTTTCCATTACGTCCTACTTCTGCAGAGTATAGTTTGCAACATACTCGTCTTTGAATACGGTATTGAAAATAAGATATTTTTGTTAGCACTTTCAATTCATGATTGGAGTGATATCTGCAGTATGTTAATGTTATATTTAGTTTTTTACAGAAAGTCGGGATCACTTTCTGGACTGTTTTGTCAGGGCTCTTAAATATTGTAGTCTCACTTTAAGAGATTTCTCATTTACCTGTACCTCAATATTAGAAATTTTTTTTCTTCAGTCTTAAAACAATACCAAAAGTGAGAATTTCGAAATATTAATAGTCTTGAAGTTATCAAATTTAGGTAGTTTCTATGGCAACTCGGCTGGTACAGCGGATGAAACGTGATTGGATAGCGACCGGAAGACGACCAACTGGTCTTTGTGGTGCAGCATTAGTACTCGCAGCCCGATGTTATAATTTCAATCGGACGATAGCGGATGTAGTGCGTGTTGTTCATATTAGTGAGGCCGTAGTTCGAAAGAGGCTTGAAGAATTTGGGCAAACACCATCAAGTGCTCTGACTATTGAGGAGTTCTCATCTATTGATCTGGTTAATTTTAAAAATTCTTTCAAAAAACTCATCGGCACTGAGTGACCATAATTTCTCGGAATTCATTTCTGTTTTCAAACACGATGTATATCGTTTCTATATATTCATGTAATATTGGATCTTTGTTTTTAGGAACATTGCGAAGATCCTCCATCGTTTCGCGAAGCGCAACGTAAAGCTCGTCTATTACAATTAAAAAAAGAGGAGGAAGCATTAAAAATAATGGAGTCAGAAGTGAATTTTTTTTTGAAACTAAATATTGTTGGTGAAATGAACAATCAGATTGTAGCGAACACCCAAACGTAAAGCTAAAGAGCTGCTTTTTTAACGGAACTTTGTGATACCTTTAATTTTTGTTCTTTAGTGGGTCATTATTATGTGTTTTTGAGTTGGTAATCTGTATCTCTTGCTCTTTCAGAGTTAAACTCACAATCCAGTGAGTTAGTATCATAATTGTATAAGAATATAGATTTGTTAGTTCAAGTACCTAACTTAAGCTTCATAGATCGTACCAATGGAAGAAGAGGTTGAAAGGGCTCTTGAAAAAAAACGAAAAGAACGCTTCAAGCGAACTTATTATGCACGTCTCATGAGTGAATCGTTAGGATTGGAATCAGACGAACTTGCTTCAGCAGATGCTGTAGTTCGGAATGAAATTGTTGATTTAGTGTTTTCTGCCGCGACAAATGATGCACCGCTGTAAGTAGATCTATCATTCTGTTTTGTCTGATATTTCTACCCGCTAAGTGACATTGATTTTAATTAGCAAGTTGGCTGTTATTTCAGGTCCAATGTTGGTATGTCATCCACCTTTGCTCCTTCATTGACTAGTCTTGGTATAGTGCCCTCAAAAAATGAGACTGAAATAATAGTAGTTAATGATGATGATCGAAAAACAACTGATTTTACAGATGACCTTGATATAGAAGGTAACATTCTAACAATAAGGAATTTGTTTTGGCATGTTTAGAAGCTACATAAGAATGTCGATAGAAAGGAATATTATGCCATATCTAGAAAGTTGTTTGGAAAGTAAATACGTCTTATTTTTCAATAGTAGTTGACTCTATTGTATAATCTTAGCTTGTTTAACGTTTAATTGTGATGATTTAAATAGTGAGGTTTACCTGTGTTTCTATTCTTAATCATTGTAAAGAAAATAAAGCGTTTGCGGAAGTAACCACATTGCAGGGATTGACGATGATGAAATCAATTCGTATATATTGACGGAGGAAGAAGTAGGCGTGAAAACTCGTTTTTGGATGAAAGTAAATGGCGAATATATGAAAGAAATGGAAAAACGGTAGAATGTAATAAATTTGTCCTTAAGTTTCGTATAAGTAAATAAATAAATGATTCTATATACATACATATTTTTATTTATTTGTTTACTTATCTACTTTCAATTATTTGTCTTTGTTTAATTCGATATTCTATCTCATTTATTTCAATAATTTTTAATAATATAGACGTCGTGAAAAAGAAGAAAAACGGGAACAAGAAAGCGCTACTAAGAAGCGTCGTCAAACAACTTGTACACGTAAAAAAGAGGCTGATATGGCTGCAACTGCGCAAGAAGCAATGGAAAAAGTCATACACGTAAACTTTACAGTATTGCTTTTTAGTGCTACCATAATAATATGTGAAATATCGAAGGATGAAAAGCTTAACTCAGAGATCTTATGCTTCTCCTGAAAAAAATTTTTGGTATACATTTAAAAGAAAAGGTTTTGAAAAAATTTGCACTCTTCAGGAAAAGAAGCTTTCAAATAAAATAAACTACGAGGTATTAAAAGAAATGGAAAGTGAGAATTTTATTGCTATAACATCCGAAATAGACAATGGCATATGTGTCACGTCGAAAAAGACTATTGACAACGATGAGGTTTTCATTTTGCTGCAGTTCTTTAGAGTGGGGAAAATTATTCCAATAGCGCAATTAAATCAAAATATTCTTCGAAGAACGATTCACACATCGTTTCCTTTTGAAATTCTTTTTATATTTTATAGAATAATTCAATCTTGTCAGGGAAAATATTAGTGGAATATCCTATTGGTTTATATTTTTGATTATTTTTTATTATTAGTTATATAAGGCTAAATCTGCATGTATTTCATCTTGAATAAAACTCCAAACATTGTTAATGTTCATAATTCCTTTGTTTGTTATTTTATTGCTAATTGATAGAAACTTTCGATTGAACGCTGAACAAGTATTTGGTGTATCAAAGATTTTTGTCCAAAATAACATCTATATTCAAATGGCTTGATTGTAGTTTGATTTACTAATAAATTTCAACACATTTCAATTGTTGCAGCCACTTAACGACGGGAAGAAAGATCCTGGTTCCAAAGATGAACTACTTTTCAAAAGAAAGAAGAATTATCGATCGAATCTAAACACTTTTAGAGCAAAAAAATTTAAACAACTGCATCCATTTCTACCTACTACAGATATTTCCCACAAAAGTTTGGGCAGTGTAGAAAAAGGTAAGGTGTAAATTGGTTATTAACTTACAGCTGATGGAATGTTTATTATATCTCTAAATTATGATATAGCTTGCATTTCCTCTCCAAGAAGCCATTTTCAGTATCGGAGAAGGACGCCCACGATGTTTGAATATTTTGTCAATTGTTCAAAAAGTAAGTTTCAGTTGAGCTTAGTTAGCTGATATATAGTTGAATTTTTCCTGTAAATGGTATATTTTAAATACGTAGTATATATAGATATATATATTTAAAATGTGGAGGTTAGTTTCAATTTTCGCTTCATTGGTTTTGCCGCTGGATCGCACTCCGGCACTCTGGCAGTACTTGTCTCGCGCTCAGATTTGTTGTACTCATCGTTCTCGCTTTGTCCTCGTGGAATCCATATCGACTGTCGAAGGAGATGCTTTCGAGCGTCTTCTTATCTACTGGATGTATGCCTCAACGTGATCAGATAGACTGATCTCCGCGTAGCATTCGTGGAAATTCGTTACAATCCCATCCCAAGTCATCACATACGAAATTATTTCCGTCCATGCACTCCATCTT